GAAAGGTGGATGGGCTGTTACTAGAAGGTGTGGCCCAGATTTAGGTTGAGTCTTCTCATTTCGGATGATCCAACCATTTTGAAATGCCTTATGGGTGTGCACAGTTGCTTGAGTTTTATCCAGGTATAAGACCATCAGCTGTCAACACAGTGCTAGGTAGAATCTTCCCTGGAAACCTAAAATTGTATTTAATAATCAGAGGATGCAATTTCAATAACTTACATTATAAAACTCAACTCTTATTCTGCTTATTTTGCTCTATGCAGGAAAAGCGTGCTAATTTATTAAATTTCGTCACTCATGGTATTGAAGATGTTTTTAAAACAATGATGAAGACCCAAGTGGCCCGAGTTTGTGCCTAGATATATACATTTTTTTTTAATTCTTCATAGGTTTTGAGTTGTATAATCCGTGTCCATACCACTTGGGCAGACCTGCCTCTGCAGTCAGGGCACACACCAGTTATCGCTTCTAATGTCAGGTTAGTTTCTGTGCTGTGTAACAGAAGCAGTACTAACAAAGATATTTCTCTCTCCCCAGTTTAAAGCTCATGCTTCATTCTACTACCCTCTCTTATGTGAAATTATGCAATTTGATTTGATTCCTGAACTGCGTGCTGTTCTTAGAAGATTTTTCCTGCGAATTGGAATAGTATTTCAAATATCACAACCACCTGAACAGGAACTTGGGGTAAACAAGCAGTGATGAGAACCGAGTATTTTTCTGTTGGTGTTTACATTCCTCTGCTCCGTGAAAGGACCCTAGAGCAGAGGTTTCCTACGTGAAAAATGCTTCTCTGAATTGCAGTGTCTGAGAGTTACTGGTAAGATGCTTACTCCTATAACTCAAGGTCGCAACACTCCATCCAGTCTCTTTAGTAATCCAGTGGCTTCTGTCTCGTGTTGGGCTCATGTTGAGCAGAAAGGCTGTTCAAACAGCATCAGCCTACCTTCAGGGTCCTTCCCTGTCCTCTGAACAGGGTGAGCCCACACTCTGGCAGGTACGGAAATGAAACTTACCCAAAGAAGTATAGATACAAAGACTGAACTTCTGCAAGAAGTACAACTCAGGAGAGCTGTATTTTGAAGGATAAAATGTTTATAATTGGGGGGGAGGGAGAAAAATTATTGCTCATGGTAAAAGATATTTAGCGACTATGGTATTCTTACTCTGAAGATTTTTGCACACTCAGGCTATCTGAGATACTGGTAATCAACATCTTTCTGTGAAAATGTACAGAGATGCAGGTCTGTAATATAAAAATCTTAAACATACTGTTCTTCCTGCACTGTTTGATTTCTTTATTTTCTTATCTACTTGCTAAATACCCATAATATTTTGTCAAATGCACTAAAACATTTGGGTTGAACTTTTAGTCTTTTGGAGAGTGGTGGTCATTTTGAGGGCTTGTTACGCCCTGAATCTGTTGTGGCCAATGCTTGTCAGGATCACATAAGGAGGGGAAACCACCAAGGTAGAAACATCCCTGCTGACAAGAGCTACCTGTAACATACTCTCTTAGGGCTTTTAAAGATGAGCCATTCAAATAGATGACCTTTCACAGACTGAAACTTGAATCACTGCAAAATGAATCTAGGTTGCTGTCACTTTTTCTTTTGGGTGGCGGGGCTTGATGTAGATTTTATTCTATGTACAGAATTTAATGTTGAATATATTAAAATAACAAATCTGGCATGGTTTGGGGAAGTTAGATTTACTGGAAATGTATTCATACTGTGAATTGTTCTCTGATGGTTAAAATGAAAAGCTTGTCAAGCATTCCATATTAACGGTGGATGTAGAAAATTTTTTTCAGGTGGATATGTATATGGTACAGATGTAAAGTTTTCTATGTAAAAAATTCTGTACAACTTTCTGTACAATATTGATTCTCATCTGGCATATCTAATCAGGTTATAGGTCAATAAAGTTTTTGAATTATTTCATCAGTGCAGTGTAACCCACAGCCCTATTTTCATTGTTTTTTTTTTTTTAAATCGAGTCATGAAGAGGTTTTTTTTTTGTTTGTTTGTTTTTGTTTTTTTTTTTTATTGGATGATTTATTTACATTTCCTATGTTGTCCCCTTACCCCATCCCCCACCACCCCCTCGGAACCCCCAATCCCCTCGCCCCTCCTCCTTCTTCTCTGTGGATGTAACCTCTATCTACACCCCCCCCACTCCCACCTCCCCACCCTCAAAATTCCCACCCCCTGGGGCATCCAGCCTTCATGAGGTCAAGGTTCTCTTCTTCCACCTATGCCCAGCAGGGCCCTCCACTTTTACATATTCAGCTGAAGCCCTGGATCCCCCCCTAAGTGCTCCCAGGCTGGTGGTTTAGACCCTGGGAGCTGTGGTTGGTTGGTATTGTTGCTCTCCTCATGGTGCCACAAACCCTTTCAGCTCCTTCAGTCTTCACTCTAACTCCTCTATTGAGAACCCCATGATCAGTTCAATGGCTAGTTGTGAGCATCTGCCTCTGAATATGTCTGACTCTTGAAGGCCTCTGAGGAGATATCCATATCAGGCTCTTATCAGCATGCACTTCCTGTCTTCCACATCAGCATCTACCTTTGGTGATTGCACATGGGATAGATACTCAGGTGGGGTGGTCTTGAGACGGCCCCTCCTTCAGTTTCTGTCCCTCACTTTGTCTCCATATTTGCTCCCTTGAGTATTTTGTTGCTCCTTCTAAGAAGGACCGAATCACCCTCACTTGGTCTTCCTTCTTTATGGGCTTCATGTGGCCTGTGAGTTGCATCTTGGGCATTTCAAGGTTCTAGGCTAATATCCAATAATCAGTGAGTGAATACCATGTGTCTTCTTTTGTGATTGGCTTACCTCACTCAGGATGATAATTTCTAGTTCCATCCATTTACCTAGGAACCTCTCGAATTCATTGTTTTTAATAGCTGAGTAATACTCCATTGTGTAAATATACCACATTTTTTGAATCCATTCCTCAGTTGAAGGACATCTGGGTTCTTTCCAGCTCCTGGCTATTATAAATAAGGCTGCTATGAACATAGTTGAGCATATGTCCTTGTTATATGTTCGAGCATCTTCTGGGTATATGCCTAGGAGTGGTATAGCTGGATCCTCGGGTAATGCTATGTCCAATTTTCTGAGGAACCACCAGACTGATTTCCAAAGTGGTTGCACCATCTAGAAGCCTACAGAACACCAAATAGACTAGACCAGAAAAGAAATACCTCCCGTCACATAATAATCAAAACATCAGATGCACAAAACAAAGAAAAAATACTAAAAGCAGTAAGGGAAAAAGGTCAAGTAACATATAAAGGCAGACCTATAAGAATTACACCAGACTTCTCACCAGAGACTATAAAAGCCAGAAGAGCCTGGACTGACATCATACAGACACTAAGAGAACACAATTGCCAGCCCAGATTACTATACCCAGCAAAACTCTCAATCAATATAGATGGTGAAACCAAGATATTCCATGACAAAACCAAATTTGCACAATATCTTCCCACAAACCCAGCACTTCAAAGGATAATTGATGGAAAATGCCAACACAAGGAGGGAAACTACAACCTAGAAAAAGCAAGGAAGTAATCTTCCAACAACCCCAAAAGAAGATAACTATACAAACATAACTTTACCTCTAATAACAAAAATAACAGGAAGCCACAATCATTTTTCCTTAATATCTCTTAACATCAATGGTCTCAATTCCCCAATAAAAAGACGCAGACTATCAGACTGGATACACAAACAAGACCCAGAATTTTGCTGCATACAAGAAACGCACCTCAGTGACAAAGACAGACACTACCTCAGAATAAAAGGGTGGAAAACAATTTTTCAAGCCAATGGTCCCAAGAAACAAGCTGGAGTAGCCATTCTAATATCAAATAAAATCGACTTTCATCCAAAATTAATCAAAAAAGATAAGGAAGGACACTTCATACTCATCAAAGGAAAAATCTACCAAGGTGAACTCTCAATTCTGAACATCTATGCTCCAAATGCAAGGGCACCTACATACATAAAAGAAACTTTACTAAAGCTCAAAACACACATTACACCCCACACAATAATAGTGGGGGATTTCAACACCCCACTGTCAGCAATGGACAGATCATGGAAACAGAAACTAAACAGAGACACTTTGAAATTAACAGAAGTTATGAACCAAATGGACTTAACAGACATCTATAGAGGTTTTTTTTTTTTAAGCTACAAAGATACTTCTTTGCAATCAACATTGGATTCTTCAGCTTCCTTTCTTAATCCTAAAATACTCAAAAAGCATATTCATTACTTAGTAATAATGCTATTTTTAAGACAGAAAAAAATGTTCCCCTACCATTACAGTAGTTTATACTGTGGCATTTTATAAATCAGTCAGGTCCAGTGGTACACATAGCATTAAAAAACAAAACTGTAGTGGTTAATTTCAAAACAAGAAATATGATGTCCTTAAATAATGAGAAGTTAGTATTTATGACAAGACCTAGCTCTAGTCAAGCAAGGCTAAATGCTAGAACAAAGTTACTTCAGTGGTTTCTAGTCTAAGCCATTCCCTTCCATGACTGACAGTTGCTTGTTCAGTGCTGTAGTAAACACTCTCCAAAACAATTGTTATTTTCAAATGTTAACAGAAGAAAATTATTATCAGAGTAAAACTGACCATAAAAATTGTATGTAGCGAAAACCAATGAAGAATACCAGGAATGTCTTATTTTTGGTAAACTCTGATGTCAAAATCGGCTGTTGATTTTATTCCTGGAAATACCAGAGAAGCAGTGGCTGGTTATCTTCAACTGCTGTCATGGTACACACTGAAGATCCTAATCCAAGTAAGAATTATTTTCTAGACGTTGAATGAGTTTTTAATGAAGTATCATTTAATTACCAGAAAAGTTTACGTAGCCAAGGGTCTCAGGTGGTGGGACAGAGGACCACTGCCTCTCTAGATGGGACCTTTTTAACTCCTAGAAACACTTTGAGTAAAGAAACTGACACTGGTAGTTAATAAAAATAGAACTTTATTTGTGTCAAGAAATAGTGAAATCAGATAAATTAGTAACTGAGTCTGTGCTTCTATCAGCATAAAAATAAAATGGAGGCAGAAAAATTTAACATTTAATTATGGCTCATAGATGGTCACAATTCCCTTTGTTCCTGTGGAATGTGTAACTACAGACATGAAAACGAGCAGCTTGTTTGAATCTTTAATCACCTAGCAGCCGACACAGTCACAGCTACAGCAGGTATATCAAACAATTCACTATGAATTGTTTCACTAGGATGCTAACAGTGGTAAGTGTGCTAGTAACAATGTGTTGTTTCACAGTGCTCTTAGCACTTTAACTCACCACCTCTTAATGGCAAGCACACTTTAATGCACAAATGGTAGCTCAATCAAGAGTTCATTACCACCCATAGCAAAATTGCAAAAACAATTCTATACAATTATATTAGAAATCAATAATCGGGGCTTTTATGTACATTATATATATAACATATCATCATAGGAAAAATACACTTTACATATAGATAGAACATAAATAACTAATATTAAAGTAGGGTCACAAGCAAGACATAGTATTCAAGATACAAATTGAATGTTCCGTCCACTGTAAAAGGCACTGCTGGATCCAGAGAGGGTTTATTTTAAGCATGTGCAGCAGATAGTCCCTGCCAAGTAAAAGTGCCTGGTTTCCCAGGAACCTGCTGCTGTTCCTCATTCAGCTGCTCTGCCATGAACCGTTTCAGAGTTTCGGAAGTACCAGGGCGGAGCCAGGGCTCAGTTGCCACAGAGTTGCGTCCATCATCACCCAAGTGTCTCATGATGTCATCAGGATCAACCAGTGACTCCTCATCATCTACAGAAGGCAAAAGATACAAGTCAGGTAGCAGGTGACATACATAGGTACCTGCAAACCAGCCTGTTACAGCTCTGCATCTTTTCACAGAATTACAACCCTTACCCCCAGCAACTAACTTGACCCCTTTAGGAATAGGAAACCATGCCTACAGAGGGATTACAGTGGGTGTGGAGAGAAATACATGGACTCCATGGCACTGACAGCTACAAAGGAGGCGCTACCAAGCATTAGAAGCTGATTGTAGAAAGATAGACTATCTTAATGTGTGTCTGTTGCTATAGGAAAAACAATGGAATGACACCAGACTTTAATTTAGCACTGATAGGTACACTGAAAGTCATTCTGAGGAAATTGCTGACATACTGCACCAACTTTAGATGGTCCATTTATTTATTTATTTATTTATATGGTTCATTATCACATTTGATCTTACTCAAATTCTATGTCTGTATTTGACTTAATAAGTATAAAGTAGCAAAAATCTGTCTTCCTACCCTTTGACGTCAAGTTCTTTTTCTAAAAAAAAAAACAACATTTTTGGGTATGGATTAGCTCAGCAAAGGGTACGATGTGCAGCCAGTTTAATGAGCAGTCAGTCTACATCCTACCAAAAAGCTCCTGTTTGAAAGGACAGCATTAAAACAAAAATAGTGGGGGCTGGAGAGATGGCTCAGCGGTTAAGAGCACTGACTGCTCTTCCAGAGGTCCTGAGTTCAAATCCCAGCAACCACATGGTGGGTTACAACCATCCGTAGTGAGATTGGATGCCCTCTTCTGGTGTGTCTGAAGACAGCGACCGTGTACTCATAAAATAAATAAATAAATAAATAAATAGTTTAGATATCAAAAACCTCTAAGAATCTTCGTTTTTCTATCTTCTCTCAAATATATCCTTCTTACGTACTAGTTCAAGTTTACTGATTCTAAAACAAAGAGAGAAGGCAATTCTTGGTATACATGAAGGGAAAAATGCCTTTTAAGACACATCTATTATGAAATAAAAAGTACTATTCCCTTAATCTATTGTGTTTTCATATTTAGTGAAAAATATTTACTACCACAATACACCACTCCTGGACTGGAGAAATGAGTTCAGTTTAAAAGTAGCATTAAAAATATTTAAGAAAAAGTTGCAATAACGAAAATCCTGCAATTCAGCTTAACAAATCTAAGAGCATACTGTAAATAGGCAACTCTACTAAAACAACTCTGGGCCAGCCCATGATCCCAGGGACTAAAAGCCTGATTTAAAGAAAGGAAGACAGTGTGGTATGGGCTGGCAGGAGAGGTCTGAGGCTGCCCTGTGCTTCATGAGAAGTTTCACCCAAGGCTACTCATCATGAGAAGATTGGTTTGTTGGCTCAGAATATTAACTGAAAAGACTACCATTTTTCTTCATGTTACAAAAAGCCAAGTAAAGGTAAAATTTTCTTTAATATTACTTAAAAACAGTGAGTGATTACCTAACATACTAGTCAGCATTTTTCACTGCTGAAAACAGCCTGGACATTGATTCACAAGACCTCCTGTAAGTGCTTAGATTCCGCTCTTAAAGAACACCTAGTATGAAGAATCTGCTGCAGAATTAATCCCAAGCCCTGGATTCCCAAGCTAGTTTATGACCTTGACCTTTTGTGAAACTCAAAGGACTTGATAATTCTTTTTCCCTCCGGGTGTGCATCAGCCAGTAAACATCTTCTGTGTAAGTTACCTGTGTTAGTGGGTTTCTTCTGATGCTCATTCAGTCTTCTCATTCTGTCTTCATTTCTCATTCTAACTTGATCAACATTTACACTGGAGATAGATTTTAAAGAGAGACCATCTTGTGGTGTGTGGAGCCGACTACTGTCCTATAGTTAAGAGAGAGAATTTAGGAACACTCCCAACAGTCAGTCCACATGGGGTTACACCAGATCTACACACACTGTGAAGAGCAAACCAGGAACATATGGATCCTGTCTCCTGTCTTTGTCAGGGCTAAGAAGTAGCACTTCAATGAAACAATTGCTGGCGTAAGGTTCAGAAAATAGGGCACAGAAGGCCAACACAGAGTAGCAACTGTGTGTGTGTCACTGGTAGGGCAGATGCACAAAGCAACAGTATAGAAAAGAATCCAGAAATTAGTCCTAGTGTTTAAATAAAGACCAAACAATGCAACAGGGAAAATAAAGTCTTTTCAATGAGAGCCTGTTTCTGTATGCTAGAGGAGTTCAGACCTTGTCTCTCAAATGATATGCAAAAACTAACTCAAGTGTATCACAAACACATATTTATATTAAACCCCCAAAAATATAAATTAGAAAACTGGGAATTTGGACCTCCTTAAAAGTTAAGGCTTCTATGCTTTAAAACCTATCAAGAAGATAAAAAGGACAATCTTTTTAATAGAAAATAGTTGCAAATCGAATGTCTGACAGAATGTATAAAGAAGTCTTAATTAAACTTCACCAGTGAAAATACAACACACAATTTAAAAACGGACAAAGGGTTTGAACTGATGCTATCTGAGAAGATCCACAGCTGGCTGGGGGGGAGGAAGCCATGGGGTGCTCTATGACATGATGGACACTTCAGCTGCAAGCAAAATCATGGATACTAACCACTACTGGCCAAAGTGTGAACAAGTAGGAAATTCATATAATGCTACAAAGGAGAAATTGAAAATGGTATAAAGTGGAGAACGTGTTTTAGAAAACAGCCAACAATCCTTCAAAATGTTAAATTCATACAGTGAGTAAACAATCCAATAATTCTGTTAGGTACATACTCAAAAGAAACAGGTAAAGAAAACAAAACCCCACGTGAAACCTGTGCATGAATGCTAACAGAAATCTTAGTCATACTTACACTTACAAAGTAAGTGATATTTACAGCCTGATAATGCTGGACAAGTGAGAAAGCTAGTTAGCTACTTGTTAGAAGCTCGTGAGCATTAATAGTACATGTCATATAAATGGGCATAAAGAGCTTAAGGCGCAGCCGGGCAGTCATGGTGCATGCCTTTAATCCCAGCACTTGGGAGGCAGAGGCAGGCGGATTTCTGAGTTCGAGGCCAGCCTGGTCTACAGAGTGAGTTCCAGGACAGCCAGGACTACACAGAGAAACCTTGTCTTGGGGGGGGGGGGGTTGGGGGGGGAGCTTAAGGCGCTGTTCAAAGGTATCTACCCAAAGAGGAAGGGCACCATCAGAACATACTTCGTTGAAGGCTCCAAAGCCTTTTATTGGGTACACTATGAAGCTATGGGAAACAACATAGGTCTGAGTCTTAGTCCTCTTACCTAGTGACCTTAGGTAATTCACTTGACCAAAATGGAGTTGCTACCATATCATGTCACTATCAAAGTATAACAGGCTTTGGATAAATGCTAACAGTTGCTTTTTATGGCTTCTACAAAGCCGGTATACTGTATAGGGAGTGAGATACAGACTGAGGCAGTAAGTTTAAACATTTATAGGACAGGATGTCCATGCCATTTACAGAGCTACATAATGCCATGATAAGAGCTACAAGGTCACTAAAATAACTGACAGCAGAACCTAGATTTAGACCACACACACTTGGTTTTCAAAGCAAGCCTCCTCGGTTTGTTTTCTTAAATTGGACCACATAAATTGAAGCCAAATTCTCAATCTTCTAAACTGAGAAGATCGTACATACAAAATCTAGTCCTTTTAATTTGTTCTTCCTGCGTTCCCTTGCAGAGGGCAGCTGTGGTGGAGGGAAGGCATCCTCTTCAATGACAGGATATGTCTCACCATAAGCACCTAAACAGGCCACACAAAGAATGTGTCAATTCTACTCAAACCTTAGAGTCTCGATGTCTTTTTCTTTAATTGCTTTATTGAAATGTTACAAGTTCAGTGATTAATTCCTTAGTGAATTTACAGTTGAATAGTCATTACTATCTAGAATTTGCAATACCTCAAATAGCTCCCGTATGATCATTGGCAGCTACTCTCCAGGCCCACTCCAACACTCCACATAGGTGGAATTCTACCACAGTGTCCTGTGTCTCTCTCAGCATGTGTCTGAGTTTCATGGATCATGTTGGTGGTGGGTCATTGCATCTACATTTGCCATTGGTGACTACTGCTAGCTGGTGGTACTGGAAGGATGCCACTTGAATATTCTGTGTGGGCATGATTTCTTTGGGACAGAAACTGGGAATTATTGCCAGGTGTAATGGTGACTGTTAAAATTTTGGGTAGCTACCACACTACTTTCAAAAGTAGCTAAAGCAGCTTGATGCAGCCATAATCCCAGAATTCAAGAGGCAGGAGGATCAAAGGTTCAGCTTGGGCTACAAAGTGATGCTCTATCTTAAAGATCTAAAATAGACATAGGTACACACATAGCTTAAAAATTAACATAACACTGGTAAATCAGATATACTCACCAATAAAAGCACTATCAGATTCTAGTAATGAATTTTTCAAAAAATCGTTAGTGTCATCTCTGGGCTAAAATAAAAAACAACAAAAAACAATTGTATGTTAATGGCTATATTTTTGGAGTAGGAAAATAAATCACACTAACAGACAGCATAGGTTTCTACTCTAATCCCACCAACAAAACAACAAAAAGATGGTGGGTAAGGCTGTCCATCCTAACTACACTCCAGTATCCAGCTAGCCTCACCAAGACACACGACAGCAGGACAGCCTGACCTCACCTGACAGACATTTACCCCTAACTTCCTCACTGTCCCCCCCTTTCAGCTGGCCCACCTTCAGCTAATAAAGGGATGACATTGCTGGGAGAGACAAGCATGAAGCAGTGAATGCAACGCTGAGCATTCTTTAAAGCCTCTTTTCAGTGAATCTGAGTACTCTGCTCCCTCATTCTTCTGTGCTTAGAACTGGGTATAATGTTACATTCTGCACCATAGGCAGGCTATAGTCCCGTGGAGGGAGGGAAGCAATGACATCATATACACACTAACCCTGACCACAGCAACCTCCACTGTAGGGAAAATTACAGCACTGGACTTACCACAATGAGCTTCCTTGAGGGAAATAACTCAAATTTACATTTGTATAAAAACTACTTTGTGTGTTAGGAGGAGCCTATGTAGACCTTCCATGTGACCTCTGCACTCTGCTCCAACACTGGCAGTGAACTAAGTCAATGAATTCTCTTGCTTCCATTGGCATTTTTCCGGGCACTCAGTTCTTCTGTATATTGAATTTCTGTCTCCTCTTTGAATACTGCTCATTTTACTTTCATTCTAGCCAAATAATGATAGTCATAGCAACTGAGCCCACTGTCAGCCTGCTAACTATTACTTAACTTCTTCTGCACTAAATTCCTTCCCATAACTGGAGTGTGTCCAAAGCCTACCTGATCTTAATGACAGCTTGCTCACCCTATATGATTTTCTATTTAATTCAGTTTCGAGGAAAGGCAAGTGGCTTTATCTTTTTTTAAGTCATGATAAACTCATGGTTTATATTGAGTTTCAGGAATCCAGATTTTTAACCAGAACCCCAGATAGTAAACTTCATGATCTTTTGAATGAAATAAGGTAACCATCACACATGGAAACATTTACCAGACTGTAGTTTCCCAAGAGACACTCTGCAGGACAGGTTGATCTGGAGCCCACCTGGGTCCAGACCTGGGCCTGATTTGTTGGATATAAGACTATGGACAAGATAATAAGCTAGTAATTTAGCAATGAGTATTTTTTTTTGAATTTAGCAAAATATGGGAGATTTGAGAAATTGGAATTGCAATATTAGGTAGAAGCCCTGAGCAAGCAGACCAGGCTGAACTTCATCCGGAGAAAGGCTAGAAATATCCTAACAATCTCAGTGCCGTGTGTCTCCCGGACCCTGGACTGTGTGCTCACCAGTTCAGCTGTGTGATACACAATTCAAACTTGCTGTGTCAAACAATTCCCTGTCTTCCCAACCCCTAAGTGTTTCTTGCTTTTCCACCTCTCAACCCCAGCCTTACCAGCTTACTAAAGTAAATCCACTCATTTCAGAGTACTACTGCTGCACCACCTCAACCTACACCAGCACAGCTGTCTATATTCTCCAAGTAATCCATCCTGTATTCAACACACAAACTGTGAGAGTAACGGCATCACTTCTCTGCTCCAAGGCACAGTAAGAATGCCCTTCTGTCCCTACTTCCTCCATGTGTTATCACGGTTTCCATGGTTACCTCCCTCACAAGTCCCCCACGCCAACCCTCCCATCATTGTCTTCCTGCTGCCACCCTCCTGCCAAGCAGCATACCACTATGTCCCTTCCTCTCAGAACACAAGCCTCCAGGACAAAGGGATTCCTTTTTCATACTCTCCATGACGACTCTACCCGGATCACACTGAGAGCTTCTGGTCACTGCAGTCTTAGATAGTGTCACTGCAGGATAAGTGTAAGATTCCACTGTCGCTTCTCTTCCGTATGACTACACACACTTCTACTTCGGTAAATCTTAATGACAACTAACAACTGTGATCAGTTTGACCAGGCTCCACTCTAAGGGACTTTAAATTATATGTGCTATCTCACTTAACCCTCACAGCAATTTTATTTAGAAACATGCTGCAGAATATATATGCAAGCCTATCTATACCTTGCAAATATTAATTGGATCTTTGTAATACTCCTCAGCAGTAAGTACGATCAACTTCATTCTGTAAATACTGACTGGAGCATGAAAATTAATCTGCCTACCCCCCCCCAGTGACACAACTAAAGAGAGCCGCAGTTCAAGCCACTCACATGTTATTCTTACCCGTGATACTCAATTTCCTCTATGTATCTTAGCCACACATCTTTACACACAACTTATATTATGTTTTAAAATAAATGCAAATATCATGGACATATTCAAAATCTGGAATACTCATTTAACATAGGGCCCAAACTCTAACTTAAGAATCTGAACTGGTTGCTTACCATTCTGCGCCCTTGTACATTACCAGTGGAGATGGTGTCTAAATCAGCTATAAACAGAATAAAAGTATACTGTTTAGAGAAGGCTAACAAACACCTTTCAGATCATCTGTTATTACCTTCTACTGGAAATTACTTTCACTATCACACACCAGAACAATCTTAGAAATTATACGACTTTCTCATTAAATGTGTATCCATTCTGGTTAAATGACTCATTAATAAAATCTTTGTGAACTTTGATATCTTAACACAGGCTTTTATTTTTTTTCCCTTAAAAGAACCCTCCTACCTTGCTCCTGAGTGTCTGCACAAAGCCCCTGGAGGCCTGGAGTTAATTACAAATTGGAATAAGTAAAGAGTAGGAGCCAGCCTCAGGGCGGAGGTCAGGTGTCCCGGTCCATTCTGCAGCCTGGCAGTGTTGTACATGTCTCTCCAAAGACAGAACATTCTGGGAATAAAGGAGCTGCGATATTGGCCCATATCCTTTCCTTGAGACTTCCCATAGTTAACCATATTTATTAATTAACTCATCAGTCTTTGCTCCTAATGAGATATACCTGTACCCATCTGGGAACTATTAGTCTTGCTGTCCCTAAACTGCTAAGATCTCATAAGATCATATCATCATTTGATATTTAAAATTCCATACCATGAGGAGGGAAGATATCTCCTATACAAGTGTATATCCAAGCCTCGAGCTATAAGCTCAGCCTAACGTGTTACATCACTTATTCCTATCATACCTCCTGAGGCCAGACACATCACTAACATTCTGCAAGCCATAGCAGCCTGCCAAGATAGGGTCTTAACTTTCCTACAAGTAACAAGACCATCCTTCCCACACACAATGGCCTGTAGGCAGGCAAAACAAGAGGGATCCAGGTATGGTCACAATACTCACTGGGGCTCAGTATGGCCCATGGATGCTAAGGTAACTCCATCCTACTTGTAGGCCCCACTCACACTGTATACCTGCTCCTGTAGGCTTAGACACTGTTTATTTGACATGACTTACACAGTATCAGCAGACCCTTGAGCATGCCATATCATATCCTGTAGGTAGTCTCTGTACCCTCATAAAAAAGAAAAAATACCTCCCACACAGAAAAAGAAATGTGCTCCAGGATCAAATGAGCATTTCTGCCCTGTTTGGAGTTCTTGGGGTGGAAACCATCAGGCATGCTCAAAGTACCCAACCCCTCCAGCAATAATGGCTGGCTCAACTCTCAAGCATGGGTACATGACCCCTACGGGGCTAATCGGAGCCCTCTGTGGAATGTGTTCCTTTCCAAAACTATATGGCAAAGGAGTCACATGAGCATGGGGCTGCCAGTGCAATGACCTGCCTGGGATGAAATTCAAGGCAAGAGTGGAAGAGTGGGAGGTGGGGTGCTTAGGAATCCTGAGGGGATAGGAGCTCCACAAGAAGACCACAGACTCACTAACCTGGGCCCAGGGAGGCTCTCGAAGACTGAACCTCCAGTTAAAGAGCATACCCGGGCTGGACGTAGCCTCCTCCCCCTGCACATATGTAGTAGCAGAAGTACAATTTGGTCTCCATGTGGGTACCCCCAAAAACGAGCATGCTGTCCCTGACTCTTTCTTGGCTGATCCTGTTCCTGTAACTGGGCTGCCTTGTCTGGCCTCAATGGAAGAGGATGTGCCTAGTCCTGTAGTGACTTCATGTGCCAGGGTGGATTGCTACCAGGGAATGAGGAAAGGGGCTCTGTGTGTGTGATGGGGGGGGGGCCAGGAGGAAAAGGGGAGCTATGATCAGGATGTAAAGTGAATAAATTAATGGGGAAAAAAGGCTGCTGAGATGACTGATTGGGTAAGAACACTCACTGATCTAATTTATTTCCTCACTGACCTTACAGGACATGAGTTGGTTCCTGGCACCTGCCTAGAGGCTCACAACTGCCTCTAGCATCAGTTTCAAGGGATCCCGCACTCTCTTCTGACCTCTGAGGGCAGTACATTTACTCATATGTATATGCTCCCACACACATATATAATTACAAATAAATACAACTTAAAGGCTGAAGAAGGAAGAGGCCACAGCTGCATCTGAAGCAGCAGGACGGCACCCACCCACCTGCATATCTCTGCATCTTTATTCTATTTAGCTTCTTCTGCTGCTCTCGGAGCAGGGCCTGCTGCTGAATCTCCAACGTGTGATGATCTCGTGGAGGATCTGGGTACATTAATCTCAGATCCACTCGAGTATCTGAATCTGGTGTAAAAATTAAATAGCTAAGTTAATTCTTGTTTTCAACTGATATTTTTAGGAAAAAAAATCTGTATGCACATTTTTTAACTAAAATACGGAAGCCAGCATCCAACATTTCCTTAAATAAACAGACTAGCTATGATGTAATTAATGAATTTAATTAAATCAGACGTGTGCCTGTAGTTCTGGGGGACTGCTACTAGTTCAAGGTCACTTGGGCTACATACTGAGTTCTGGGCCAGTATGGACTACTGTGTATAATTCTGTCTCAGAAAAAATATGGGGGAAAAAAGCCAAGAAGAGGTGCTGAGGAGAGTTGAGTGCATGTTGCTAAGTGACAGGCACCAATCTGAGAAGGCTAGATCTAGTATGATTCCAACCTTACGGACTACAACCTTACGGACTACAACACTCTGCAAGAGGTAAATAGTGGAAACTTAAAGGGATAAAGGGAAGGGAGGGCGAACAGGACTTTTAGGATCATAAAACTTTTCTGTATGATCCTACACTGGTGAGAATATGTAATCATACTTCTATACAAGCTGAAAGAATGCCCATCAAAGATGAGCCCTAATGCAAGCCAGGAGCTTGGAGAGATAATGGCACACCCATTCAGTAGATCAGTTCTACCACTGTGTACCTCTGAGGTACAGCTGTAATGGAGAAGGTTGTGCCTATGCAAAGGCAGGGAGCACATGGAAACTCTCTGTGCTTTGTTGGGGATTTAGCTCAGTGGTACAGCACTTCACAAGATCCTGAGTTTGACCACCCACATTGAAAAAAACATTAGGTAACAACCTTAATCAAACCTCAGTCAAAAGACATTACAAAGCCGTGACATTACAGAACACAAAGTTAATGTTCTTTAATGAAAAGCTTCCCATAAACAGCAGTTACAAGGCAGTCCCTAGAACAAGCAACTGCTTGTGGTTTCTCCCTGCTACCATAAGATGTCACCTAGAGAGCAATCACAACAGGCTATGCTCACCTCTTTCTCTCAGCTCATTAAAGTCATGAATATTCTGAAAAGTGGTAGCATCTAAGCCCTTAGGGGATGGTCTTCTGACCGGAGCTTGTACTCGATGTCTAGCCATGTCAAATATATCCATGGGGTTCCTCTCTCTTTTCCTATAAATGACAAATTGTAATCAATGTGCTGTACGGTAGGAAACGAGTTGACATTCAATTCTCTGTAAAAGCAACCTTGTATCTTTGACCACAATTACTACATATCTTCTAACTGCCCTGCCCTGCTCTGTCAGTCATCTACGCTAAGAACCTGTCTGCAGTCCCAGCACTCAGGAGCTCAAGGCCAGTCTCAGCTCATTAATTTGATGTCACCTTGAGCTACCTGTGTAAAAAGAAATAAAGAGAGAAAGAAAGAGAGAGAGAGAGAGGGAGGGAGGGAGGGAGGGAGGGAGGG